TAACCTTAAAGTCTCACTTGGTTACTATATATAAAGAATGTGAAAAGAATGGATTGAAAAAATAAAAAATAATTATTTTTTCCCTCGTAATAAACATAATAAAACGTAATAATATATATTATAAATATAGGAATCATCGCATTTTTCCAAAATATCATGAAACATGACTTTGATCCCATGAATTAAATTATTTTTTCCCTACGAATATTGTTTACCTATCCTTCTTCATATTTGAGTCATTTTATTTTTACTTCTATTAATTTAATACATTATATTCTAGTAAGCAAGCGGACCTAAGTTGTTATTGGATTAATTGAAAGTTCATGCAAAAAGCTTACAATGATTATTATAGTACACTAGCCATTAACTATTGCATCTACTCCCTCTGATCTTTATTATAAAATACTTTTAACCGTTTCATATATCTTAAGAAAAATTAGTTTGTTTTTTGATATTATAAAAAAGTGAAATGTATTTTTATTTTTACTCTTGACTTTAAATAACAATGCAAATTAAATACCTTCATGCTAATTAAAAAAGGGATAAAATTAAAAAAAATATTTAATTATTATAAGATCTCCTATATTTTGGATCAAAAATTATTTCTAAAAAATTTTGTATAAATAAGATCGAAGGGATTATGTTTTATAAAATGATTCTTATTTTATTCAGGAAGTTTTAGTCCTTTAAGTTTGTCTTAGTTATTAATTTGATTGCTCAAATTTTTTTTATTAATTTAGTTTTTTAAGTTTACCTTGATTATGAATTTGATCCTTATTGTTTAAAAAAATATAACAAGCTATTAAAGTTTACTAATGTGGATAATAGAATATTGATGATAGCCATGTAAATTAATAAAAAATGATAGTTATTTGATTACAAAGGAACAAACTCTAAATTTAAAAACAAGAGACACGGTGCAAGGAATTATATTGATAAAAATTAAATTTATTTTAAAGTTAATTTGTTTTCATTTAGCTACATATACACATGCTAAGTCATTAATATTTTGTATACATTATATTATTTTGAGAGTCAATTTATATTTTAAAACTTAAATGAGTCATATGATAATATAAAAAAATATATAAAGAATCAAATCAATAAAAATTAAATTTAAAAAATTAGACTAATAATTAAAACAAACTTAAAAGATTGAAAGTTTTATTATTTCTTTTATTTATTTGTTTTTGATAAAGTAACGTAAATTTAAATGTCGCTGGGATAATAAAACATTTAAACTCATAAAAAGTAGCTTTACACAGAACCAACACTGCAGATGCAAATCAAATTTAAGATTCCAAACTTACACAACTATCTATGCCAAGAAGCAAAAGTGGTCAACACTGGGAAATGCAACATAAATTAAAGTCTAGCAATTCATAACAAACCCAGCAAACGAAATTATTACAGAAAGCACGGAAACTAATGAACTAGTCCATCTACAACCTAATCGCGTGCTGATTCTTCTGAGCCTAACACGGATCTCTCCCAATTGTCCTTCCTGTTATTCCTGAAAGCACAGCACGCAATGGCGTACACGATAACCAGGAAAAAGAGGAATATTATGTCAATGATAGCCGACTTTCTCCAGTTAATGTTGAAGTTTTGCAGCAACCCAGCCTTGCAGGAATTACAGTTGAAGCACAGCACCTTTGGATCATTGCCCCAAGCACCACAATCTGGGTTCCTATAATTTCCACCTTCGGTCTTGTTCCACACCGTTGCGCTCTGGTTCACAAATTTGCAGTCGCTTGGTGGCCTGCAACACCCAGACTGCACCAGAACCAAACATGTGTCAAACAAACATAGCAACTGCAAAATACTCAATTTTTTGCCACACCTGGTCAAAAACCCGATCAAATAAAACCATAGTCTTTTGCTTTTCAGACTAATTTAAAAAGACCATCTTCTTCTAACCATGACTGGAAACACATGCATGCAATACCTAACCAGTGAAGTTGTTGATATTGAACGAAGAAATCCCACGATACCTGAAGCGGTGATAATTTCTCTGCGTATAGCTTCTGGAAATCGTCGTTGATGTACTTACTAAGGTAGTTGGAGCAGAGTTCCCCGGACTGAAGACAACTCTTGATTCCGTTCCAGTTACGCGAGCTGTTCACTCTCTTCTGCAACCAGTGAGAATAATCACCGAGCCGGTACTCCTTGTACCCTTTGCCGGAAGAATCTACGCCGGCGGTCCCTTTGTTGGTAATGGCAAAGGTGAAGACCGTGAAGCTGAAGACGCAAACGACGAGAACGAACATGGCGACGAGGTAAAACCAGAGGAGACAGGAGCTCCGGCGGCAAGAGCCGACGAGGCCTGCCAGCGACACCACGAGAAGGAGCGCGCCAAACAGAATGAAGGGCATATCGAGCCATTTTTCACACTCGGTGGCGCCTTTGCTGAGCCATATACCCATCGAGAGAATGGGAATGGAGAAGAGAAACGTCAAGAGATTGAGGCACACGAGCAGAGCGTTGCTAAAGCGAAACATTTTTTGAGAAGTTTTACAGAGAGGAATAATGAACGAGAGAAGATGCCGAAATAGACACAGAGGTGAGGAAGTAATATAGCGACTTCGTGAAGTTAGAAAACGCGGTGAAAGGAAATCGACCAGATTCTCACGCGGTTCAGTGGATTTGGTAAGGGAGGACATGGGGCATCAAATCGAGGAGGAAATTTTGGGGGATAAATTGAAGATCGATGAGCTTCGTTACGAGGCCATAAAAGATACATATGTATCAATTTCTCCATAAACTAAGGGAGTGACTCATACGAACAATCCGTGTAATAATAAGGAGTGATCATGATTACGTGTATTTATATTGATTAATATAGAAGTGGTGATATTCGTTAATTTCTGTAGCGGACGAGACAGTCTAAAAGACAACAAAGGAATTGGGATATGGGATTTCAGCAGGTAGAGTTGGAGGCGGACAACTTGACTACGGTACAAAACCACGAATGCTGAATAGAGAAGTGAGACCGTTGGCATTTAATAATTATCAAAATCCCTTCCCCCCCCCCCCCCCCAAAAGAAAAAAACAACTGAATTCATTGAAATTAGCAAATTGCTAATGCCAATTAACTTGCTCATCAGATTGATCGTAATATAGTCATGACACTAGGATCTTTAATGACCCACTTGGAGAAGATAGGAATTATTTGTAATTCGACTATGGCCTTATCAATATTAGTGTCTGTTTGAATTTCAATTGGGTATAATAGATTATGAAAATAATTAATTAAATATAAATTTAAATCATAATTAATAATGTTATAATGTAATTTATTTGGATACTATTTTTTAAAAATTTATTTTAATAGAATTCAAGATTTTTGAATAATTTATTCAAAATTAATTTTAGTTGTATGTATTACCATAAAGGATATTATTTTTAAAATTAAATTATTAATAAATTTTTATCAAATATTTAAAAAGTAAAATATATTATTTAAATTACATATCTAATTAATTATAACAACCCTCAATTTTAAATTAAATTAAATTAATTTTTTATCAGTTAATATTTTATTTAAATTAGTTTTATAGCTAGGTGCTAAGTAAAGGCTGGTAGATGGTGGGAACTTATAGTAGTAATTTTTTTAAAAATTAAAAATTCAAATTTTACTAAAAAAAAGGTAAGAGAGTTTGATTTTATTTTATTAAATTTTATGTCTTTTTTATAATTTTTTCTTGAGCTTTTCTTTGTAATTTTCTCCATATATCTTTGTAATTTGAATGCAAAAGTTGCCTCTATAGCTTTGTGAAAAAATAAAAAAATGATTTTTTTTGAAAAAATTACTGTTTGGATACTTAACTGCAAAATCGATTTTTTCCCCTCAAAAAATCGATTAATGAGTTATCCAAAAATGATAAAAAAAAAAAAAAATGACAATTAAAGACCCTCTAAGACTATTGATTGTAATTAAGACCCTGAATTATAAAAATTCTAATAACAAACCACGGTTTGTTACTTAAAATTAAAAATGTATGAGTTTAAAATCTATAGAAAACACTACTAAAATTACTCTTATAGTTAGGATTATTGTTAATTTTAGTTCAAAAAATCAAGAATCACATTCGAGATTTGAGAATGGATTGTTTCATAATATGAAACTAAAATTTACCTGTGAAGCTTTCTAAAGACACTTGTGAATACATGATAGTTACTTGAAAATTTATTAAAGTCATTTTTGAATATAAAAAATCAAGAAAAAATAATGCTGAAATTACTATCATGAGATCCAAGTATTATTGGTCGGGACAACTAAAATTATTATTATGGATTGGGAGTACTATTGTTAATTCTATTTCCAAATATGGATCATAGTTTTTTCAATTAAAATTAATAATAGTCCCAACTCATAATAATAATTTTAATAGTATCTTTTTTTTATTTTAAACTCATGTTTTTAATTTCAAGTAAGGACTACAATTCATTATTAATATTTCAATAATTTAAAATTTTTATTTGTAATTAACAATCTTATGAGATTTTTAATTGTTACTTTCCCAAAAAAATATTACGGGTTGGCAATGGGCGTTGCATCCTTGGGCGTTGATTTGGAAATCACCTTATCGTTGTTGATCTCCCCGTGGGCTTGGCTATCACCTTTGCAATACGCTCCGTCATCTATTCGGAATAGTTCAAATTTTAAGGTTTTATTTTTATGTTTTTATTTTATATTTATTATAAAAAAATTATAAAATTCTAATACATCCATTTTATCGCGAAGTTAGATAATAAATATTTAATTTAAATTATTTAGGTTCCATCAGCACTCTTTGTAGATTTCTGTTGTCAAGCTTGTCCAATAAAAACATGATATACATATTATTTACTGTTCAACATTATATGATATTGATTCTTTCCAAAACTAAAACATTAGACTGTTATGAACCAATATACATATGGTTGTAATGCAATATTATCAAACTAATGGTCTTCTTATTTCTTTCTCTTTTTCTCAATCCAAAACATATCCACCACAACTCTGCTCCTCCTAGCACTTCCATTCTCTTCATAAATCTGCATTAGAGGGCTATATAATGATGAATGACAGTAAATTTACATGCATAATTTTTTGATTCAAAAGTGAACATTGAAAACTAAAATTTAATTTCTGAAGTCACAGACATAGGACAGTCTCTTGTGCTAGTTAATTGTTTGACGTCTGTCTCTTTGCAGCCTCTGCTGGGATCTTTACAAACTGAAAGTGGAAACACCATTCCACAGCAGCTGCAAAAAACCACTTCAACCACACCCAGTTCTCATCCAAGATGGCTCAATCAGATACATTTCACCCCTACAAATGCTCTTTAGTATGGCCTTAGCACACCTTTCTGCAGTTTCAACTGGTATAATCTTCGCATGGATCTATCAAACACATCGGTTAGGAATTTGAGTTATTCATGATGGTTACTTACCATTGAATCTTAAAAGCACAAAAGTGATCACGGTACTTGTTGGCAGTGACACACTCCATCATCATGACAGGATAACTCTGTAAATATATGAGAATTACCTCGGATAGAAATTCATCAGCTGTCATTTCTGACTTAATGAACCCAGGAGTCACTATAGTTACCCCTATGTCTGCACCGAATTCAGCTCTCAACGTCTCAAAGAAGCTTGTCATTGCTGCTTTGCTTGCCTGAAACTTATCACAAGTTATAATCTCTCCACATAAAACCATGACATTAAAAAAAAAAATGAAAACTATGTCAGTGTCTTACGTTGTAGAAGCTCATCCTTGGAGTGGGGTACCATGCTGCAGTTGAAGAAATCACAACAATCTTTCCTCTCTGCTTTTTCTCAAGTGTGAAACTGCAAAATGTGTAGCATACACTGAACCCCAGAAGTTTACGTCCTGCCAACCAAACATCACAAGATCCAACGTAACTTTTGGAATGATAAAGGATAATGTTCGGCAGATGCAATGAACATGAATTGATTAATTTCACAAGATATGGGAGAATTAGGTAATATAGCACCATGATTGGAACCAGATCAGACAACTTCTCAGAGAACTCTTCAAAAAATTTGGCCTGATTGATCCCAGCATTGTTCACCAAATGATCCACTGTTGCATACGTTGAATCACAATAAGCTCTTATTTTCATTAGCCGAAACGAGATCATGCTACACACATAAGTTTATATGCATAGTTATGGTTACATTGGCCAAAATGGTTGATGGTCCTGTCGACGAAGCGCTGGGAATCTTGAATATCGGAAACATCAGCAGGAATGATAATAGCTTCAGGCGAACCAAGTTGAAGGGCTTTATGGAGCACTGAGCGTAGACGATCTTCTCTCCTGGCTACAAGGGCTAAACGAGCCCCTCTTCTCGCATACTCGTAAGCTAATTCCTTCTCGTTTCAAGATTACATTAGGAATCAAAAGCCATGAGGAGCTTTTTTTATTAGAGAAAAGATTAGACTTTTGGGAGAGTAAAGCGTCGGATGAAATGAACGGAAAATACAAACACAAACCTCGCCAATTCCTGAAGAGGCTCCGGTGATGAGGACAACTTTGCCGGACACAGATTCTTGAGGTTTGCATCTTTTGATGAGTGAAGACAAAAACTTGAACGCATAAAAGGGAGGGACAAGCAAAAGCAAGGCGAAGAAAGTTGATGGGATCAGTGTTATATTCAGTAAATCATGAATCAAATCCATGACTTCTTACGCCGAAAAAGCTGAGGGTGAGTGGGGCAAACTGATAATAACACCCCTACATCAATTCTGGTGTCGTCTGTTGCAGGGGTTGACCTGCTGCACCCTCCACCTCAAAAGCGTTTTGTAGAAAACTGGCATTTGCAGGTGAACTAACGGGAAATGACGGCGTTAGTTTAAAACCGTCAATTTTAATTTTCACTTGTTCAGCCATTTTATATTTAATTTAATTTTAAGTTAATTCAAAAAATTATAAAAATGATATTAAGATTAATATTAACTAAATCATCTAAATTATAAAAAAACCTTAATAGATTTTATGAAAATTTCAATGAGGACACTTAACCAAACATAATGAAAAAAAAAGATCCCTGAATTTTTTTAAATTTCACTAAGGATCTGTATGTAATTTTTTTTAAATTTGTGATAGAAATGATAAAAAAAATTTTCATTTAAATAAACAATATAAATAAATTATTTATTTTCATACTATATGTTATTCATTTACTTACGGAATGTTATTCGTTTTCCTACTTCACTTATTTATAGTCCTACTTTCAATTAGTTTCATTTTGGGGCCATAAACAAGTGAAATAGGTAAACAAATAATATTTTATAAGTAAATGAGCAACATACAGTATAAAAACGAACAAGTCATCTTATCCTGAAATTAACACTTGAAATGAAATTAAGTAAAACTAAAGTTATAAACAAGTAAAATAGCAAAATAAATAATATTCCGTAAGTAAATGAATAGCATATAATATGAGAATAAATAAGTCATTTATATTATTCATTTAAATGAGGCAATTTTGTCAATTCCGTCACAAGTTCAAACGAAATTCCATACGGGTTTTTCAATGAAATTCAAAAATTCAAGATCCTCTTTTTAATTAATGTTTGGTTAAGGGTCCCTCATTGAAATTTTT